CATAAATATGCACTGCACATCATAATATAATTATGAGTGGCTTCTGGGGACAAGCATGTGTGTTGAGAGCTCCTAAGATGACTCCACACCCTGTCAATAATTCCTGTCAATTACACCTGGAGAGACAGGGGGAGGCAGTGGACTGAGCTACAGATCCTTTAAAGTCTGAAAGCCTGGTTTATCTGCCTACTGCTGTTTCTAATTGCTATGAGCTGTGTGCGGGGCTTTTACTTTCCAGCGACACTAGCATCCTTGTGTTTTTATTGTGCCATATCTTTTGTTGACACAGTCTTGCCCTAAGCACAGCTTTCTCTCATCTTCAGGAAATGTAGCTGCTCGCCACTTGCTACTGGGTGTACACTTGTACTGTAGCTGCCCAACCCACGGCAACAAAACATGACTAGATTCTAATCTGACTTTCATTTTCAAGGGGTCAAGGATCTCTAAGAATTGAATGAACTTTCTCTCCAGGGCAAGGAAAAATTACTCATCTGACCATAGATATCACTTTGGAAGGCCAAAACCTCCTGAAATTCTCAAAGTCTGGACTCAGGACCAATGGCACTTGCATTATTAGGGAACTTCTGAAATACTCACCTCCAAGCCTGCACAACAGAAACTTTGGGGTGAGGGCCAGCCCTGTTTTAGCAAGTCATCCAGGACTCAAGTTTGAGAATATTTCAGAGCAGTTTGAAAACCTTCCTGCAAACGTTGAAAAAGCAAAACAACACGACAGCAGTGGCAACAAAACTGCTCTAATGCCTGGGCTTCACTCTGTGCAACGCGTGTCTTTGGAGGTGGGACCTGGCCTGGACATGGGATTTGCTATGGTGACAGAAAGCTGACCAACAGTCTGATGGTCCAGCTGTGGCTCTGAGTGGGAAACCATGCTCCTCCAAGGAGTGAAGCGGTGTAGACCTGAGTTTTAATGACCAGGGTACTTCTGACAACCCCAGACTGGAACAGGACCATTCTGGAGCGGAACCTGGCAATGGCCCACCTTGCTGCTCTCCTCTGTCAAGAGGATACCCAGGTGCTGTGGGCGGGTGGAGAGGCTTTTCCAAGGCTTCTTGATTACCAAATGTCATGGGCAGCTCCTGATTTTCCCTTTTTGTTCCCAGAAGTGCTCTCCACTGAGAGCAAAGTACAGACCCCCCAAAGAAGCCTACAAGGCCTGAAACATGGATTTACAAGTGACCATGTCACAGCAATTCAGTTGCAAGGCATTGGATTCAGCTCCCAGGGACTGTCTCCTCTGACCAGGCGGCTCCCCTGCCAGCTACTCATTTTCATGGAGCTCAGATTCTTGCGCCGTTTTGAGAATAATCTTAACCTTCACCAGGTTTAATGCCAGCTGTGCCACCAACTGCCTCCACTGTGGCTCAATATGTCACACCTCAGTTTCCCCAGTTTTCAAATAAGGGTGATAACAATGCAGCTATTCCTGAGAGTGTAGCTGTCAATGCTGCTGATGCACATGGATAATGGTGTCTGCACCACAGAAACGGCTTGGTTGTGCCAGCTCTCGACATGGCCAGGAAGACAGGGGCAGGTGAGCCTGTCCTGCAGGGCAGAGAGCCGAGGGCTGGCCTCTGCTTTGCAGCCCGGAACACTCTAGACATTGGTCTCTGCATTCTGATGTTCGCACACGGAACTCAGTAGAACCATACGAGAAATAAAGAGCCTAGGAGTGAGCTGGTGGGAACGGGCACTGTGTGGCACCTGATGGTAGAGATTTTACAGGAGAATAAAAATGCTGATTTTGCTTATATTTTAATTGATGATTTTCACTCATTTTGATAACAGTGAACTAATGAGCAGTATCAATTATCACAATTTGAAAAGAAGCATATTTTTTAAATTTTTGAATTCTGTACAGGAACTTGACATTAATGTTACAAAGCAATCTGTCCTAGATAATTTTAGAATCACCACTATATGTGGCACATTGGCTAAAGATCTGGATGCCCAGACCATCTATGTATGTATCCTGTACTTCTCATAAAAACAGGTAAGAGAGAGGCTACTGCTTGCTCAGGTTTGGTGGTGCTTATGTCCAACAAACAATTTCTTTCCCAGTGGTACTGTGGGCTGAACACAGGGCCTTTGCACATCCCTACTCCCTTTTAATCTTCATTTTGAGATAGGTACTCCCTATGTCAGTGAGGTGGCCAGCCTCACTGGGCTTGAACTTGCCATCCTCCTGCTTCAGCCTCCCGTAACTCTGGGATTATGTGTATGTACCACCATTTCTGGCTGGCTTTTCTTCTAGAGGGAGAACCAAGCAGGCCCTAATAGGAACAAGAACTTGAAAAAGCAGGAGGATGGTCAGCGTGATGAGGGCCTGGCACACAGGTGTTTCCCCATGGTCACCCTGTGCTTCTGCTGAGCAGGTGAGAGGAGACTGCCGCTTGCTTAGGTTTGATGGTAAGCAGAGCTCAGAGGACTGGAGGAGCAGGAAAGCCCGACTGAAGTTAGGTGAAGACAAGTGTCCTGGTCACTTCTCTTTGTTACTGACGACAAAATTCTCAACATCCACAACTCAACACAAAAGTGTTTTTCGGTTTACATTTTCAGTCCACGTCGTCTGGCCAGCTGACCAGGAAGCAGGCTGAAGCAGAAAGGGCTTGGTGGGCAGAGCCCAGCCACTCCAGCCAGGGCAGAGAGAGCAGGGAACAGCTGGGAAGGAACACAGGGCCTTCCAGGTCATACCCTGTGACCTCCCCTGCCCAGAGCCTACCACTTAACAGTACATCAGTTATGAATTCATCTGTTGATGGATCCACTGTCTCGTTCAGCACCCACACTCTGATCACCTTTCCAGTCTCACGTCAGAACACACGCGGCTTTGGGGGACCTTCTAGATCTAAGCCTAGCAACTAGGAAGCAGAGGTTGCGAGACCTTGGTCAGTTCTGCAGATTGAGCAAACTCTTCTTTGTATAACCCTCACCAAGGTTTGGAGTTATTTTTATTTTAATTGCTTGATTCTGAATGCTTGACAGTAGCCTTTTCTTCTTCTTTGGAATGGAGCAATTTATTTGCATCACCAAAACAGCAATAATGTTCCCATTAGTGAACTGAGTGAGCACCTACTATGTGCTAAGTCCAGGGATCAAACACTGCAGAGGCTGCTCTGCAGCTCATGGAGTTCTCCATCCACAGGGAAGGAAGGAACTTTCAAGGATCTGACAGGAGGAGGGCAGCTGTTCCAACACACTCAGGGTGTCATGAAAAAATGGGGCAGGATGGGCTGGGGATTTAGCTGGGCAGTGTAAGTGCCTGCCTGGCAGGGTCATGAGTTCAATCCTCAGCACAAAAAAAATGGGGCAGGACTGTCAATGATATAGTGGTTGAAACCCTGACCTAGTTAGGGAACACATACCCACATGCAAAGAAACCCAAAAAGGCTCCTTCCCCACGGTCGGTGTGGTAGGTTGAGAAAGTTAGCTTGGGGCCTCTGAACTGCAGGTTTATAGAATCCCTCTCCCAGTCCCTCTTAGGGGCAGTGCAGAGGGTTCTCCAGCTTTCCACAGGGAGCTGGAAGCAGTAGTGTCTGAGCATGTATCACCCCGGAGACACAGGGCTGCAGCCAAGCCAGCCACCATCACCACCTCCACCCACCAGCCCGCCACCTGTCCCTCTCACATTCTGGCCGAGGGCTAGACACTGCGTCTGCAGCTGCAGGACACCTTCGCCATCCAGGTCGGAGGCTCCAAGGACTGAGAAGAGGCTTCAGGCCTTGCCATAGGCTCCAGCTCATGCTTTCAGGTTCCCCTTGATCTTGCTTTCTCTTTCCCAAGTGTGATCGCCTGGCTGCCTTCCCACCCTGTTTTCAGTCTCCAACTCGAGAGGAAGAGGACAGTGTCTTGTGAGAATAAGCCAGAGTCTTCACTTAGCTGCTTCGCCTGGGTTTTGTAGATTGAAGAACCGTCTTGGGTCACCCTATTTGACCATTTGTCTTTCATTCTGTCTGAGCATCCTTGGGGTCCTTGAGTCTTCCTGAGGCTGCTCTAAGCAGAGCTTCCCTCAGTTCCTAGGCAGACACTGGGTTTGAACAGCAGGAGAAAGAGCCATGCCGTTTCTATTTCTTTGTTCAGCACTTAAGTACGACATCTGGCCTACAACTGTATGTGCACCTGATATGTTTGGGTTAAGCATAAATGTGTTTCTTATCTTTCTCTTTGTCACCACGAATAGCTTGGGTCCATCAGCCTAGTATGCATATGCAGCTAGAGAATATTTTGAGGTAGTAATTTAGATTTTACTTTTGCTTCTCTTCCCCCATTTAAGCAACTGATGGGCCCTGTGCTCAAAGGCCTCGCAGAATTCCAAGGCAGAGTGGAAAAGCCAGGAAGGACCTGAGTTAAAGAGGGCTGTGAAGCCATTCAGGATTAGAAATGAATCGCAGCTCAAATGCACTGACTCACGGCTCTGTGAGCTGAGACCACTGCAGCGCCAACTTCAATTTGTCACAGGGACACAGACTCCCCACTTGTTTTGTCTGCTCATCTTCAAAGCTTCCCTATGATTCATTTCGGAGCCAAGAACATTGCCTCAGGCGGAGAGGGGCTTGGGGGCCCCTGATCACAGAACAGATGATTAGCTATGATGTGTCAGGCACTGCGGGGAGAGAACTGAATGAGGGTTGAATTTGATTCCGTGCTACGCTTATAGCCCAAAGTGCAGTGGAATTGGTCACGCACTCACTAAGCACACAGATTAGCCATTCCCACGAGAGAAGTTTCTGGAAAATCTATACCAACCTCCGCGTATGTGTGTGTGTGTGTGTGTGTGTGTGTGTGTGTGTGTGTGTGTGTGTGCTTACTTAGCCACAAGATCTTAAAGGCCTGTCTTCCTTCTGCCCATTAATTTTCAGATCCTGGATGTGACCTCTTACCTTGCCAAGTTCATATTTTAGTAGTACAATGAGAATAAAATCATAGAGTGCAACCCTTTGTGTCTTCAGTGCCCACACCATCAGTGGCAAGCACACAGCAGGTGATTATTAATGCTTTATTGATGACTATGCATAACCCAGCTCTTGGGGTGCAGCCTGCCAGTTTGACACATAATCCCCATGGCACGTAATTCCCTTTTAGACCCTCCTCGTTGTTCATTAGGTCGAGTTCACAGTGCCATAAGGCTGTTTCATCCTTGGGTAACTTCAGAATTTCCTAAATGATTGTCTTGTAACAGTTTTTTACAGATGAGGGAACAAAGACTTGGAAAATTATTTTCCCAGGATCTTTAAGTTGCAGTTAGATCTGAACCCAAATCAATCCAATGGATTTGAATACATTCTAATTCCTGACACATAAAGCATAGAATTAGTATTTCTTATTATCTTAATCCTAGAAAATAGGCTACAAAAGTATTATTCAAATCAAATTTTTAGAAACATTTTTGTTTGAGCAAATAAAGTATTTGTAAAAAGATTAAAGGCATTATTCATTCAATCTTTTGCTCTTCAGTCTCCTTTAGAGATGCACAATCTCTATTACATTACCACTGAGTTCAATTTTTAATTTAACATACATGAGCAAAAGGCTACTAACAAGTAGTAGTTCAAACAAATTAGCAAAAAAGACATCACATAAAAATCATTTGTGACACATTAATCATTTTTTTCCTACAGATCTAGAGAAAATTGGTTTCTCATTTTCAAAGCATTTTCCTCCTTTGGCTTAAGCTTCCAAAGATATAAACATCTTTATATACACAGTATGGCAGGATATGTAACTTCAATACATCTGACACTTTTAAGAAAAAAAATTAACTTAAATTCTAAACAGTTGATCTGAGAAACTTACAAGTCAAAAATGTAATTTGGTTTTTATTTGAAAATAACAAAATTCTAGCTTGGGCAAAACCAGTTGTAAGGAGAAGGGAGAGCTCTGCCCTCCCTAAGCTTTGCCAGTGGTGACCAGATGGGAATTAACACTCTAAGGGAAACTGAGTCTAATACATCTTCCCACATGTTGTAGATTTAGAGCTGTTCACTGTAGAGGTTTAAACTGTTCCTTCTCCCTAGATAATAGAAAAAAAAAGAATGAATGAATTATGAGGAATGAATTATGGTGTCATCTCTCTAATTCTTTCTCCTCCCCGCTCTCTGGCCCTCCACATCACCCCCTGTGCCGCTGGTTACTCCTGCCCCTTATAGGAGACCTGCTGAATGCTTTCTGTACTGTCCTGACTTTGGTTCAGAGCTTCAATCTGTCTGTAAGTGTTTACGTTATAGGAATGGGCACTTCATTTGATTTTGCACTATTATTAAACAATTTTGGTTAGAGACAGACAGAAGTATTGGCACTGAAAGCCACAACAAACACAGAACATACAGGATCCTGTATAGACCCAAAAGCCAGAGACTGCTCCTTTCCTTAAAGCTATGCTGCCTTCCTGATTTTCGAACTAATCATTGGCAGCATTTACATTGTAAATGCTGAAATGGATATAGTTGTTACTCAGCAACTGCAGGAGCTGAACGTTAAAACCTAGTTTTGCTGCTGGCTTGTCTGAGACTGAGTGACCAGCCTCCAACCAGGCCATTGCTTGTATTTTCAGGCTCAGGGTGGTCTTACTAAATCCTTTCTGCCTGAACGGATGGAAATTGACCTGCACATCTTCTCTGTAAGTTAGGCAGGAGGTAGCTCTACTTGGGTAACTAACACCTTGAGAAGTTATTCAGCTTTCTTGGTCACTTGACAGGTAAGTTGTAGGGCTCAAGTTGGAGTTGCAGTCTTTCCCCACAGCCTCCTGTGGTATCAATCCTGGATTTAGGTGAGACACCAGCTGCCCACAAGAATTCTCATCACACTGGATTGCTCAAAACTGAAGTTTTTATGGACTGCAATACTTAGTGGTAACATTTTATGAGGTCTGCAAATTATTTTCCAAGAATTCAGAAAGGGAGAGGGTACTCACTGTGAACAGATTCTAACAACGTGTGGATGTCAGTAAAAGTATGCAGATGTGTAATGCAGATTTGACATTTTCAAAATAAAAAGTTGAGGTAAGTGAAAGGAATGAGGAGAAGGAGGGAGAGATGAAAAAGAGGAAGAAGGAGGAGGAAAGGTAGAGGAATTCTGGTGGCAAATGTTCTCCGTCTATAACTCTCTGGCGCCCTGTGCAGTCTTTCCCTATTGAGTGGTTCAGTGATCAGGATCCTCCAAATAAGTGGTTTGAAAAAAGGACACTCACTTGAGAGTCAACTCACCTCTACGTGGGTACATTTTAACATTGATAATCCTCAGATTAGGTAAAGTATCACATCTATTCAAAGGGCAGTCACATTTTCAAAAAATCTTGTAAAGAAAAACTTACCACCCAGCTAAAATACATTAGTTGATTTAGCAAACATCAATTCATTTAGAAAGAATGACACAATTTAAAGGCTCAATATCCTTTTTTTTTATATTATTGGGGGATCTAACTCAACACGTCACATATGCTAGGCAAGTATTCTACAGTTGAGCTATATTCTTAGCTCTAAATGTTCAATATTTGTAATTGCATCATAAAAATAATTTTGGTGCTTAGTAACAAGTAATCTCTCCCTTCCTTGGATTATGTTTACAGATCAAAAAAATTTAAAATAGGATTGAAAATTCAGAAAATAAAAATTCAACAGCTAGTGAAATTTATCTGCAATATATACATTTCATTGTTGATTTAGGGGGCTTATTTATATTCTTACATTTTAAAAGCAGTATATGGTTACTAAAATGTTTTTGAATATTATAGTCTAAAGGGAAATGAAGCATCTTCATACACAGAAAGAACAATCATTTAACATTCTGATTGGATTTCCATTAGCTTTTCTTTTTTGTATTCATAATGTTTTATTCTTTCTTATTTTTGTATTTTATGTTACATATAACGTTTACACACTACTCTGTTCAAATAACACTAGTTCATAAGCAGTTTCAAAATAACAAGTTAGGGAAAATATTCTAAGATATGAAAAACAATAGATACTCTAGGACAGGGGAAATTATTTTTCTGAGATATTGAGAAAAAAATAATACTGACACTTTAAGACAGTCACGGCAAACCTATGACACACATGCTGCAGCTGGCTGTTATCAGCAATCTAAAGGGTTCACCATCACCGCTCCAGGAGCATACATAAGAAGTCAGATACGAGTGAGCAGGTGGGAGAGATTGGGGGGTTAGAAGGCAAAAGTAGGGTGGGACACTTTCTAACTGAATATCATATATATTCCTGTGCGTGTATACACACACACACAATGTTTGAGCTCTCTATATACATATAATGCTTAATAAAAATATTGAAATTTATCTGAATCATTTAAAGTCCTGGCATGATTAGAGAGATAGTTTCATTTAATTTTTTCTTATTTGTGCTTTTTAATAAATTTGTGGATGTGTGAATTTAGTCACGTGTTGAGATACTCCAATATTTATTGATTAATTTTATTTTTATGTTGATATTTAAAGATTAAGTCTGGAGTGACTTCCTGTTTTTCTGCTCTATAAGAACCACTTCTCTTTTCTGTATCTGATATCATAGTAAAGTGTAGCTAGGGTTTGCCTTGGTATGTGTTGTTCACTTGAGGACAACTGGCCCCTCAAGCCAAACCAAAATGTACTACTCCTGACAATGTGCCCATATGGCAAACGCACATTTCCTGAGGGTCCTCATATAAACGTCAATGCAGGAGAAGTCTTTCATCTCCAGGACTAAGCCAGCTGGACCCTTGGCAGGCAGCCATGCTGAGTGTGAGCCTGGGCATGTTAACAGGCACAGTAATACAACGTCCCTGTTCCCTGAGCTGACAGTGGGCTCACTGGGTTCCAGCTGGGTCGGATTTTCTGCAGGTGGCCACACTCGGCACCCCTCATCCATGCGCGCCCATGGGGCCTGATGAGGCCTCCTTGATGACAGAAAGAAGTGACAAAGACCGAACTTACCCTACAGCAGTCTCCGCAGAGGGTGCCCAAGAGGCCGTTGATTGCCTGGATGGCACAGAGAATCATCTGGATTCCTCCTATGACCAGCAGGATGGAGAAGAGGGTCAGATTCCAGGGAACCACATCGGTGGGCTTGTCACACTTGTTCCACAAGGAATTGTCACTGAGATAGTCCCTACAGGTAATGGGGAGAAAGAAGATGTTTTTAAATCTTACACAAGTCCCTAGACTAGAAGATTGCCATAGCCATGCTTTTTGTGAAATACTTTCCATCCCCCCAAAATTGCATGAGCAAACACCCTATAATGAAATAAGAAAACAAAACCTAACTTTTATTGAATATGTTTTATGTGCCAGACGGTATTTCAGACACTTTTTACATACTCACTTTTTTGGGATTTTTTGAGTCAGGGTTTCACTGTGCAGTTCAGGCTGGCCTTGAATTCACTTTGTAGCCCAGGCTGGCCTCCACCTCACAGTGATCCTCCTGCCTCAGCCTTCAGAGTGCTGGGATTACAAGTGTGCACCTCTGTCCATGGCCCCTCATTTATCTGTTCTACAAACACGATCTTTTCCTTTCTATCCTACAGATTAGGAATTGAGACACAGAGAGTTTAAATGCCTTGCATCAACTCTTACAGCTACTGAGTGGCAGATCAAGTTTTGTGAACTAAGAAGACAAATTCACCGTCTGCGAGGGTGTAGAAAATTGATGAGACACAGGATTAGAACTGCACAAGTATCCACAGTCTTTACCCTAGCTATTGTCATTTGAGATGATGTCAACTTCGGGAAAATTGTTTGCCAAGTGTAGTGAGTGACCAATTAAAGTTAGGTAAGATAATTAAAGGATAGTCTTTAACAAAATTATGAATTTGACACAACTGTGTTTTTTTTTAACATGTAGCAATCAACACAAAATAAAATATAATTTCCCTTGTGAGAGAAATATACTGCTTTAGTATATTTTGCTGCAAACTTTGGATTAGGAAAAAGTATAAGATGTTTATATTTTATTATGTATACATAAGACGAGTTCACTGCAATATAAAGAACATTGTCCCTTGCAGGAGAAATGTAAAGCATGGTCTCTTGGAGGGAAAATGAGAACGAAGTGGGTAAGATATGATTAGAATTTTCTGTAATGTTTTGTGGGTAAGATATGATTCCCTCTTACATTCTTAAAATCACACATTGGTCTCTTCCTCTTTCTCTACACGTCCCCTACTTTCAAGGTCTCAGTGGGACACTCTCCTACTGAATTAATATTCATTTATTGTTTTTAGATCTTTATTATAACCCTTGTTCCTTAGGCAATCTTGTGTGTATTGGTAAAACATTTATTTAAAAATATTCTGAATTAACATTTTGGAAACTGTTCAAAATGATGAAAGGTGCTTTGAAGTTTAATAGACTAGAAGGAAATAAAGGAGATAAAGGAAGGTAGGACGTCCTGCTCTTTAGAAGTAGCACATTTTTTATGGCATCGATTCTTAGTAAGTGCTCAGGTTTTTAGCAGTTGTGTGACCTGTACTTCCCTGTAAATAGCAATAGCGTCTATTTCGCACAGGGAGGGTTACCTGAGCTAATACCAGCACAGTACTTAGAACAGTGCCTCACATATAAAATTACTCACTAAGTGCTAGCGTTGTCACTATTTGATGTAGTAAATGACAGCCTAATCTACCTGAAAGAGCATCCTGTTTTGGATTCAGGTGAAGTGGGCTTGGATCAAAGGATTTCTCTTACCAGCAATGTATCCCACATACCGGTTACTTGTCCTCCCTTAGTGTCAGTTTCTTGACTTATAAAATGAGCTAATTAGCTCATCACTGTGAAGATTCACCGAGATGATACACTGTATGCATTTGTGCCTAAGACTATGCTTTTTAATAATGTTTTAAATTTTACATCACACATCTTTGTTTTGCATTTTATATGCTTTATCTTCACAATTTTAAACTCGGTGATCAGAAAAGACGGTAAAGACATGATATAGCATTTTCCAGACACATTGTATAAAGATTCTAAAATGATGCGTCTAGCAATTCTCCTCCGGAAAGTTGGTGCAGCGGTGGGGCGACAGCGCCCGCTGGTGGTGGGTGTGGGGAATTTGGATGCCTGGTAAATTCCTGACACTTCGTGTCTGTGGCTGCCTCACTCCTCACCAACTGTCTCTGCTAGCCGTCCTCAGGATTTTCTTTTCTGCTCCCGTCAGGTTCCGGGATCCTCAGACACCCTGTGCTCGCATGCAGCTTGATTTCTGTGTCCGGCTCTCCCCGGCGGCTGTGAAGAAGCCTTAACTTCTCACAGACCTGATAGCTAACCAGTTCCCAGCTCTGTGAGGCGGGTTAACCCGCCCCACTGCTTCTAAAGCATCCGATGGTTATACAGGTGCTTCCCCTTGGGCTGCAGCAGGCCGCCCAGCACCAGGGCAAGAGGAGCAGGAGGAGCAGATGGCTTTGGCCATACACTGCCCTCCCCTGGGAGACCCCTCCTGCTCTCCGCGGAGCTCGCTGCTCTCTGGGCCTCCTGCATTCTGGGTGCGCCTCCCATATGGAGGCCCCGAGGCCCCCAGCTGTCACTTTGTCCACTTGTCATCTTCTCACAAGGGCGAAAGCCATGTCACCTCATCTCTGTCACCAGTTCTAGCACAGGGAATATTCAGTAGATGCAGCAGCTGCTACTTATTGGGTTCTAGCTGTGTGTGGGGCACCAACGTCTTTCTCAACACCACCAAATTGCAGCATTGCATTTGAGCAGGGCCTGCTACACAGCAGCCTTCAGCGAGAGGATAAAGCTGCACCCATTTCCCACACGAAGAAACTGAGGCTACAAAATAGAAGTGGCTGGTCTAACTCCCACATCAGTGCTCTTACCCCCTCACAAACTCTGTGCCAGTAGTCATACCTCTAACACATTTCAGATCTGATTTCTTTATGATATCTGCACTATCTGTAATAGTATGTCAATTGAGGGTTATTTGTGTCATGGAAAAGAGATTATTCTCCTTGAATAATTCTCTTCTTTTGTTGGTTGAAAGAACTGAAATTAAGCCACAAAATTATTACAAGAGCAAAACATTATAGAAAATTCTAATGTAGATTGAATGCCTTTCCAAATATTGTACCAATGAATAAAAAGGTTGAATGTTTATCAAGTATGTGGCAGGAACTGCGCCGAGGGCTTTATGTTTGTTGTATTATTTTGTTCTCACCTGAACCTGTGAGGTAGAGCTTTCTGTTACCTCTGTGTCACAGATAAAGGATCTGAAGATGAATGCATTGGCCAAGATCTCACCATTGACGTATGGCAGAGGTGTGATCTGAGGTGCATCCTAAATTGGCCACAGTCAGTGGTCAATACTGGTCCCTAACGTTTGTAAAGCGTCTCCTGCTTTACCACAGCAGGGGACATACGGTGCAATCCAGTCTCAGCCTAACGAGGCTTCAGCTCTTGAGCATCATGAGCAGTTTATGGAGTTGCTTGGTAATTAGTAATCATGCTTTGCAAATGCAGATGGTCTTAAGCTAGGGTGCCGGTAGAACCCTGCATTATACTCAGCTCTGGGTTTTGATTGCACACATCCAGAAGTGAAAGTTTTCCTCACCACTCAGCTCTGGCTCTGGAGGGCAGGCAGAGGGCACCCACTCTGGAGGTGTCTTGCTTGGTTCTTTCTCCAGCTTTCCTGTGCCTGGCCATCCCCGTCATCCCATACAAGCTGCTTCCCTGCCAGCAGTTTAGGAACAAGTAGGGCGGCAATTGTCTCAGAAAGGAAGATTTTGGGTGAGAGAAGGCTCCATTTCAAAGGAAGCCAAAAGGCATCTGGGCTTTCTTTTTCCTTCTAGGATGCTTCTTTAATATGTTTTGCATGGTGGATACAGTTAGCTGTATTTTCTCCTTTGACAATATTACTTTTTTCTGCACAGTGGGGATCTGTCCATGTTGTCACACTAACTACTCATGTGCTCACGATGCAGTGGCCATGTCTGTCCTTTGGTTTCCGTTGAAACACACTCTAGCACAAAGAGTGTACAATCATAAAAAATAAAAATAAAAACTCCCTTCTGCTAATTACTAACTGTAATTCCCTTATAAACTAGCCCCCTGAACTTCACCTTTTTCTTCAAGGGATAGGAATTGTTTTCAGTTTGTTAGAGAAATTAAGGGAGGTAAGATTGTAAAAACACAGCTCTTGATTGTCGAGAGGACAGAGGAGCTGGAGGAGACAGAGGACAAGGCGGGAAGAGCAAATGGAGGAGGCAGTGAAAGAGAAGTCAGAGAAGGACAGAAAGAAGTCAGAAAAAGAAAGGAGGGGGAGAAAAGAAAACGAGGAGAAAGAATACCTGCTGCTGCCGCCACCTGGTGGCGGTGACAAGGGTGACACCTGTCTCGAGTCTTGGGGCTCATGCGAGTGCCAAGTCAGGTCTACTCACTGAGAGGTGTGCGTGTGTGTGTCAGGTGTGCAGCTATCATGAGTACTCTGATGTTAGTGTGAGAGAAGTTGGCAGTTCCCCGAGGAGAAGGTGAGGACGAGCCTTGGGAAGCCTCTCGGCGTGAATCAACGTTACGTGTTGCACAAAAAGCACCATGACCTGGAATGAGGAAACTTGGCTTCTAGCTTCAGACCTCAGAGAAGTGTATGCCTCTGGGCAGGACACTTGACCTCTCCGACCTTCATGAAGTGTGCTGGCCCTTTGTTAAGTGAGACACACCGAGCTGCAGAAGGTGCAGCTGCTGTCAGGAGAATCCAGCTGAGCTCCTGCAGGCAGTGAGGAGGCTGGGAGCCAGCAGTAGGGGGGAAGATGGGAAAAGAATGTGGCTCTGGCCACAGAGGATGGGCTGCAGGAGGACAGGAGTCAGCGGCAAGGGGACAGTGTGCTGGGCAAAGGTAGAGAGTGAGGGCCACTTGGCAGGTCCCTCTCCCGGGGGTCCTCGTAGGGTGAGCAGGGCAGAGTTCACACCTTGCACAAGGAGCCCTCTTGTTGGAGGTAGGATTAAATTTTGAAGCCAGGGTACGGGGCAAAAGGACCATGAGCTACAAAGTCAAGCTTCAGGACCCCAAAGGTCACTTGGAAAGTGCGGAATAAGTTTAAATAACCACAGATATTCACCAGCTACTGGGTTGCAGCTGCTGGGCAGCAGGATATGTAATATGAAAACACCAAGACTTCAAGGCAGAAGCCTGAGTTGGATCCCTGCCTTTGTCCCTGACTGTGATTCTGAGCTAGTCAAACTTATTAAACCTTCCTTGGCAGAGAAGTTACCCCTTAAGGTTGTTAAGGAGATCAAATTTTGTAAATTTGTGAGAAAAGTATTCACAACCTATAAAGCATCATAGATTGTTCAATTACACAGGCAGTTTGGGTGTTAGTGGAAGCCTTCTAGCCCAGTTAGTGAGTAACCATTCCCATTTGCTACCATAAGATCCGCAACAGTGGCCACTACTCGGCTTATGGTATTATTGGTTGTCTCATGTTGCTCACTGAAGTGCTCTCTTTCAATTATTTCTCCTGCTGACTGTCAAAAGGCAGTTAGGTTGGGGATGCAATGCGGCTCAATTGTAAAATGCTTGTGTACCTTTGCAAGGCACTGAATTCATCCCCAGATGCCGAGAGAGAGAGAGAGAGAGAGAGAGAGAGAGAGAGAGAGAGAGAGAGAGACAGAGAGACAGAGACAGAGAGAGACAGAGACAGAGAGAGACAGAGACAGAGAAGAGAGACAGAGAGAGAGAGAGAGAGAGAGAGAGAGAGAGAGAGAGAGAGAGAGAGAGAGAGAGCGCACGCAATTACATATGAATTCTGCATGACTTCTCTGGACTCCACAGCACCAGCTCTGCCTCTGAGAAGAGACACCCTGGAGACTTGCATAATGAAGCCGACCTGGCATTATATAGTCTTGCGTTGGTAGTTTACCTGCCCGTGCCCCTTGCGGGGATCCATGGCATTACAGGGGTGAGCCTTACCCGTTCATGAAGGGGTAGCCCCAGGTGCCATTGCCCATGAGACATTTAGGACCCTTGTTGATGGAGATGGCTGAGATGATAAATGAGTATCCAGCACCCACGAATCCAATCCCGGCAACTATAATGGAAGTGAACATCTGGAAGAGAACAGAGACAGCCTCATTCCGAGGTGGCCTAGAGGTTTCCAGACCCCCCAGCCTGCTCCTGGCCATGGCGACAACAGGGAATTGGTGGGGCAGGAGCCAGGCTTTGTGGTATGTGGGACCTACCTGTGAGCTTTTTTAGAATGAGTTTTTGTGTCTCAATCCCTTTCACTCCACTGTTATATATTTTTCATCTATTCATTAAACACACTTTAAAAGAAAAACCCAAGTATAAAATCTCCTTCACAGGACCAAAACGAAAGTCCATTCTCTTAGAGGATGAAGCATCTAGGATCAGCAGTACTTTTAAAAGATTTCTGACCCAGTTATCTGCTGAGGTTAGTACTGTGGTGTCTTATGTGATGGCAGATTTTGCTTATGCTTATGAGGAAGAGAAAAAGTCTAGCAGCCTCCTCCCGAGGCCAAAAGGTTACACGAACTCTCTCTTCCATGTGGAAGCAACCTTTAAAATACCAAGATCACCTTGGTGTCTGTCCACTTGCCTGCCCTCTGAGGATTTTCTCTGCTTAAGATTCAACAACCAAACCATTTCAGTTCTTCTACATATTTTTATATAACCAAGATCAACTGGTTAAATGTTGACTGGACTAGCATCCTTTTCAGTGGCAAATAAAGAAAAGGGATTATAAAATGTGAATAACAGAGACAATGCCGGAGCCCATCAAGGCTAATGCCACTTAGAGATTAAAAAAAAATTAGGCCTGGAGATGTTAAGAACTTTTGGCTTCTTCATTCTGAGCTGTGATTAGAGGTAGCATGGAAGCATTTATAATTTTTGAAATGAAGGCAAAAAAATAATCCCGTCTGTTACTCTGGTGATGAAACACAAGCGTTTAAGTGTGAAGAGACTCTCAAATCTTGCCTTAGCTATTTTTCTCTGTGTGATGACTAGAATGAATGTATCCTCAGTCTTTTGTCCCCTATAAAATGGGCATGAAAAAGTCAAATATGCAAATTAGATGTGGTCGATGAGCGCCAGCCATGGTGCCTTCTGAGGCCCTGACTAACTCCCCCATGGTACTGACCATCCATATCTACCACCTGCTGGGTCCTGGACTGCAACAAACTTCTCGCACAGCACACCAAGGGACAGCTTCTCACAGCTGTCTTCCTCAGAGAGCACATGGGATACCTGAAGTTATGATCACTCTGAGTTATTTGAGGATAGGTCACTGCTCCGTCTCTAGCACAGTCTGTATGATTTTTCTTCTTAGCTTATCAAAGGCACAGGATAACTATTTGCTGGATGTTTTCAATGATTTCTAAGATTTCCTATTACTCACTTGAAAAGATTTGCTCCTTAATTTCTGTGTCTATGGTATATTCCATTCTTCTCATTAAAAGAATTGTGAATTAGGACTGTGGGGGGGGGTAGAGAGAACAAAGCCACACCAGCAAGCAAGCCCAGTCTGGGAACCAGCATGATGTGCAGGCTGCCGCTGCACTGGAACAGACAGACCCCAGCCCCTTGCAGGCTGGCAAACAAGAGGTACCACCCTACCTCCTGTAAGCGAACAGCTCATTCAGAGAAACACAGGCTGTGATGACAGCCATGGAGGGGAAATGCAACTGGATGCCTGTGGTGATTTGGTGTTCACTAACGTTGCAGGTCTAGGGCCAGTGGTCTGAACATAGGTTCCGAGGATAGTGGTACTCAGTGTGACACCTAGGGGGGATGGCCTTCTGAGGGCTGTAGCCATTTTTTATTCCTATGGTCTTGTTTAGAAGTCCTATATCATTTCCATTGTTTTGTTAGGTTGGATTTTATTCTCTTTTGTTTTGTTTGATTTTGTCATAATCTGATGGCAGGAGCAGCTATTTCAAAGATGGCAAGATATATTATGGTAGCAATTTTGGATTTACTATTGGCTTGTTTTGAAGTCCTGTATTGAATTCATTGTTTTGTTTTTATTGTTTCTATTCTATTCTGCTCTGTTGGACTTTTACTGTGTCTGAAGTTATCTGTAGCTACTTTAAAGACATCAAAAGGCATTGTGGTAACTATTGTTGATTTTGTAATATCTTGAAGTGCTGTATCTCTTACATTGGTTTTTTTTAATTAGTTTTATTCTATTTATCTTCTTTAATATAAAAAAACCATGAATTTAATCTAAGTTATAAGTAAATATTTTTTGGTGTGAATGTTTTAAAAAAAGAGGTAAATAAAAGATTTGATTCATTTATGTTAGAACAGGCAGTCTGTTTTCCAAGGGACATATCGTCATGGGCTGGGAGTGGTGGCACATGTATGTAAGCCCAACACTTGGGAAACTGAGGCAGGAGAATCACTATAAGTTTGAGTCTGGCCTGGGCTGTGAGTTCAAGGCCAGCCTGAACTGCATAGCAAGACTCTGTCTCAAAAACAAAACAAAACAACCACAAACCTCCAACTAAAAACCAAACGTGTAGTTGAATAATTGGGAGGAATTTCTGAATTATGTAAAATCAAATAGCTTTCATTTCTGTTGTGCTTTTAAGGATATTTGTGTGCTAATGGGTATTAAACTCCAAGAAAGTGATATACTATGCGTGCTGGAATAGAAGGCCAATTCCTAGCTCTCAAATTGTCCTTCAGAAAAGAGGAAGCTGACTTATAGTTGAGTCCTTATTTCATCTAGAGGCAATAAGATACTTCCTCAAAACCTTCCTTCTTCCCGGCCTCCTTTCCTCCCTCTTTTTCTTTGTTCCTCTTATACTTCTGTTCTTCCTTCCCTCTTTCTTCCCTTCTTTTTGTAGTACTAGGGATAAAACCCAGGGCCTTGTGCACGCTCAGCAAGTGCTCCACCACTGAGCGCCACTCCACATCTCAATACTATGTTTTGAAACAAGTCCTTTGTAGAGGAGAAATTAGTCAGAAACAGCCAAGTCAATGTAGGGGTTCAGAATTGTTTAAATATTTTTGTTTAGCACATATTTATTAACTGTTCAGGAAAGTTGGCATCTGAACTCCTAGTGCTAGATATTATGATTAGTAAATCTTTTACCAAGACAGCTTAAAAATGAATACACTTACTGTTTACAGTTATGAGAAAATATATAGTCACACACATACACACACACACACACACACACACACACACACACACATATATATGAAGAATGATAGTGCATTGCCATTATCTTTTGGGGACTGATGTTTATGTCTTAGAGTGAAAATTCCAATGATGGCATTATACTTAGATACAAATATATGTCTAAACTTAAATGGAAGAGAAGATGTGATATTGGAAACTCTTCATGATGCAAAAAATGTCTTTAGTGGTAGCAAAAAAAATTGATGTCAATAAAACATGAATACACTTAAAAATAAATGAATTGGAGAAATACAATTCAAAATCAATATATAAAATTATTTTATATAACAATTTAAAATATGTGTGTATCACTGAATGGGTTTTCAGTAAAAATTTTTAAGAGAAATTTTTCCTTCCTTCCTTCCTTCCTTCCTTCCTTCCTTCCTTCCTTCCTTCCTTCCTTCCTTCCTTCTATGCTGGGGATCAGACGTAAGCCCTCATGAATGCTAAGCAAGCTATTTATATCAAAGCTTATACCCAGCCTGGAAAGTTTCTTTATGGGAAGACAAGGCATGGTTTTATATTCAGCTTTTCCTTCTACTGGATTACTGCACTTTGGAGAGTTCCCCAACCTTCTTGTGTCTTGTAAGTTTTGGGGGACTCCCTGCAAAGTCACACACTGTAAACTGTGCCTCCAATTCTCCAGGAGAGGTTCCTCAGTTAGACTTCTGTCCCCGAGTCACCTGTGTGTTCCAACCAAATTGTTCCTAGATAGATGCAGCTGGTCTAACTCTAGAGGCGGGTACAGTGTGTCAGTGTAGCAAGAGCACTCTTACACTCTGGGTAGTTTCTTTTAACACAGTTTTCTTCCCTTTCAGACCATTTGTTGTGCTTTCTTTTTGTTTGTCAGTTGGTTTTTGAGACAAGGCCCCGCTATGTAGTCCAGGCTGGACTTGAACTCAGCACTGTAGGCCCAAATGACCTTGAACTCATCATGACCCTCCTGTTTCAGCCTCAAGGGCTATAACTACAGATGTATACACCACACCCAGCTGTAAACGTTTGTTGACACTATTGGGTTATCCTCATGTCTTACAGAAAAATGAACTCTATGGAGGTAGGCAGGCTAAAAGTCTTCCAAGAGCCGGGCGCGGTGATGCACTCCTGTATTCTCAGCACTTGGGAGGCTGAGGCAGGCGGATCATTGCAAGTTCAAGGCCAGCCGGGGCTACAAAATGAGCCCAAGGCCAGGATGAGATCCTGTCTCAAAAAGACCATGTATATATATATATATATATATATATATATATATATATATGTTCCAAAGATCAGAATCTTCATTAAATAGATAGTTAAATAACCTTAAAATTGTATTTCAATAATGGAGAAAACCTCCCAAAACATCTAATGTTACCATCCCACTTTCCAGCTAATAGAAACAGCTCCATTACATGCTGAAATGAAAATGGGAAATTACATTCCCAGTTTGGTCTCTCAGAGGACCTGGGCTCCAGCCCCCTCGGCACTGCTGTAGTAACGGGAAGACACAGAAGACTCCTCCGCCTGACCCAGCCCAGGATTCCCACAGCTGCCTGCTGATGGGCAGAGGAGAAACTTGCCTTGTGTTATTCCCATTGTGTGAGATAAGAAAAGGTTTTCGAAACATTTTGGCAGACACATGTTTGGTGATATAAGAGTGAGCACAAATGCAAATGCCCCTCACTTTAGGCAAATCTGAGTAGATGGAAAGCTGGTTTAACAGAAATCGACAATGAGAAGATGAATTTTGTCTTTATCAAGGAGTCAAGAGATGGAGGGGGAGGGAATGAAAAAAGAATAAAGACGTGTTATGTATATGTAACAAATCCACACAATGAATGGGATAATTCGTGCAAATGTGTACCAATAAAATTTAAAAATCACGAACTGAAAAGAAAGTCACCACTGTCAACAGTTCTA